CGCGCGCTACCCACGCCTGCCGACGCATGAGGGCGTGCGCTGGGGTGGAGGCGGAGGGAATGGGCGGGAATGAGCGGGAATGGGCGGGGAATAGAGGGTTGCCCACGGGCAGAGTCCGGGACGCGATGCGGCACGTACTACGGAAATTAGATTTGTGGGTGGCGTGTACCAGCGGGGCTGCTTACGGAACTGGTGACGCGATTGTCCCGCGCGGCATGGCGTTATACTTGTGTACCGCGCCCCGATGCGTACGCTGCCCACCAGGGCCGCATCCACGTTAGCCTTGTGCGCGCGGTAACGCCCGCGCTCGCGAGCGCACCGTCTGGCGGTACTACGGTCAACGCAAACGATAGTACCGCCTCTCGGGGGAGAGCTCAACTTCAACTGCAACGACACTTTTTAATAAAAAAAACACTCACTCACTCACTCACACTCACACGCACACACAACCGACATATCGATAAATCAAGCATAGGCGACGGCGTCACCGTAGCGCGGTTGGGCTAACCCCATTGCAACCCTCTCCCTGATGGCGTCGGGGCCGGTGGCCGTGCGGATGTGCAGCTTGGCAAAGCTCCTAAACGAGTCCCAGTTGTCATTCTCCGGCACATCCAGCGCCAAGTCCTGCGGCGGCAGGCCAAAATCGGGGTGGCGCGCGCCCTTCCGCCAGTCACTGTCCTCGTCGTCGACAAAACTAGTCATAGTGCGGATCTCAGCAATGTTGTTGTTGTTGGCGGTGTCGGCGTCCCAGGCGGTGCTGCTCCCCGAGCTTCCCCTCGAGGTGGTGCTGGTGTCCGGGCCCCTCTCAAAGGCGGCGGCCCTTGCCAGGGCCTCTGTCCACTGGGAGGCCTGCTGCGGCGAGTCTGCGTACAGGACGAGTGTGCGGTGCGGGTTGAGCAGGACGACGATGCGGAGGGTACGCGGGTCGAGGCCGACGACAGCGCCTGCGAGTGCGACCTTCCAGCTGGGAGCGTCTGCCTTGGGGTTACGGAAGTTGTACAGCGTGCCTGCGCGGAGGACGAACATCCTCCTGACGGGGAGGCGGGTCTTGCGGCCCTTCTTCCGGAGGAGGGCGTGGAGGTCTGGCGGGGGGTCATCGTCCGAGGAGGAGGAGGCGGAGGCAGCGTGCGAGGTGACGGTGGAGGAGGAGTGCGCCTCGGACATGACGCGGTGGCGGCGGGCGCGCAGGGCGGCCTGCTGGCGCGCGCGGCGGCG